TTTGTTTATTCATCAGCTGATGGACATTTGCATCTCTACTTTTTGGCTATTATGAATAATGCTGCCATGAAGATTCATATATAAGTTTTATAAGAATATACGTTTTCTTAGGTATAGACCTAGTAGTGGAATTGCTGGGTCACGTAGTAACTCTGTGTTTAACTTTTTGCAGATTTGCCAAAGTGCTTCCCATAGCAGCTATACCATTTTACATCCCCACCAGTATTGTATGGGGGTTCCAATTTCTTCACATACTCCATGACACTTACTTTCCTTTTTTATCGTTATACTCACAGCCATTCTACTGGTGTTTAGTGGTTGTCGGTTCATTTTCTGCTGTCTATAATAGCCACATTTGAATAGTTTTGTCTATTGCCTTAGTTTTCCTTCTGTGTTGCCTATTCCTTAATTCACCATAACTCAGCTTTCTCTCACCACATTACTGAAACTATACTGTATGATAGGACATTCATTACCTAATGGCTACACCCAGTGGCCCATTAGTTCCCAATTTTCCTAAAAGGAAATCACCTGCTATCTCCCTGTCCAGCCTTGTTGATAACAAGTGCCACTAGTTTCCTGAATCTGAAGCCCACAAACTTCAGATCAACTCCATGTCCTCTCCTCTCCTTTCCATGGGAAATACCCTATGAGTCTGGATATATCCCACCCTTTTTGACTCTGGCCATTGCTTTTGTTTAGTACACCTTCCTATCTTTTTTTTGAGTCTCACTCTGTGGGCCTGGGTAGAGTGCCATGGTGGCATCATACCTCACAGCAACCTCAAACTCTGGCACTCAAGTGACCCTCTATCTCAGCCTCCTGAATAGCTGGGACTACAGGTGCCTGTGAAAGGCCAGACTATTTTTAGAGATGAAGTCTCACTCTGGCTCAGGCTCATCTCCAACTCCTGAGCTCAAGCAATCCACCGTCCTTGCCCTCCCAGAGGGCTGGGACTACAAGATGAGCCACCACACCTGGCCACACCTTCCTATCTTAATGTTTAATTCTTATGAGAATCTCCTGTCCATCCCAGACTGTCTCTTAATATCACAATTTTAACCATCCCCCAGTCAGAATTTGTCTATGACTCTCAATGTGTACAAGATAAAATCCAGATTTTTGTTTTCTTTAATCCAGATTCTTATTCTGAATTCAGGGTCCTCTATTGGCCCTTACCTAATTCTCCTGCCTTATCTCCTGTTACTCCTTCTGCAGAATGAGACCACCCTACTTGCTTTCCCTCAGTAATCCCACCTCCTTTGCATGGGCCACTTCTCCTGCCTGGCAAGTCCTCATTCTCTCCTAGGCCTGCTTCAAATCACACTTCCTCCCTGCATGTTGCCCCTGACCTCTCTAGTTCACGCTTGCTTCTCCCACCTCTGAAGTTCTCACACACCAAATGTCCTCTAACCACCTTTCTACACATTACCTTCTCATTGACTACATTTTGGACTGTGCAAAGACAGAAACTATGTCCCCTAATCTTAAGCCTTTTCTCAGAACACATACAACTGTTCTGTGATGGAAAGGAAGAATCTCAGAATCAAGTACTAAGATTTATATGTGGATGGAGAAGTCCCAGAATTAAGGAGAGTAGAGGGCCGGGCATGGTGGCTTGGGCTCATAATCCTAGCACTCTGGGAGGCCAAGGCAAAAGATCACATGACGTCAGGAGTTTGAGACCAGCCTGAGCAAGCATGAGACTCTGTCTCTATTAAATATAGAAAAATAGCTGGCTGTGGTGGCAGGCACCTGTCGTCCCAGCTACTCAGGAGGCCAGGGCAAGAGGATCACTTGAGCCTAAAAGTTTGAGGTTGCTGTGATGTCACAGCACTCTACCAAGGGTGACAAAGTGAGACTCTAACGAAAAAAGGATTGTGAGGTTTTTTTCTTCTTTCTCTTTCCCTTGGCAGTATTATTGTGAATTCCTTTGTATTTCTTTTTTATCCCTAGAAGCCTCAGTAAAAGTCTGATTCTGACCTAAAAGTGAAATGTCCTGGTCTTATGCTAACCACTTTTTCTTTGGTTTTCAGGTTCTCTTTGTTCCCAGACACTGGTGGCATTATGTAGAATCCATTGATCCTGTCACTGTCAGTATAAACTCATGGATTGAGCTGGTACTTTTTAATTTCTTTTAAATAAGTGGAATTTCTGCTTTTAAAAAAGATATAAAAGCTGGTCTATGGGCTTGAATTAAATGACTTAGCAGAAGTAGCAGAAGTTTAGGAACATGAATGGTGGGTACTAAATAATTTGAGGATCCTGGCTGTGCAGAGGGTAAGGACAGTACTGAAGAGGAAGAAAATACAGATAGTTTGTTAGTCCCAGAAGACTTGGTGATTGATTTTTTTAAGTAACCCTCCAGCATTTCTTTGCTGTAAAATGCTATAATTTGGTTATGTATTCCATCCTCTGCTGATGGGTGGTTAGGTCGGAAATAGCAATTTCAGTGATGTGGTACTCTCTGTCTTTTAAGAACACACAGTAGGCCCTGATGTTGGTATGTGGAATCCTCTCTCTTGAACAGCATTGTTAGGAAAATTGTGTTGGGCCTGGCTGGGTCTACTGTATGTGCCCTACACTGCTAGTCCTGTCCCTGACCATCTGGCAGGATAAATCCACTTCTTGGTTCAGGTCATTACTAATTGCAGAATTCTCAGTCTTGGCTCTCCATGTTAGGTTTTTATCATTTCATTTCTGCCAGAGGCCTTTTCCCTCCAATATGCTGTGCTTAATCCTAGTTGCCTGCTCTATTTGACAATTACAATAGCTGCCCTTTCTGCTGAAGTCTGTCTCTTCAGCCTGGGGTCTTAATTGGATCTGTGCTCTCTTTACCCAGAGGCCCTGACCGCATCTCTGCTCTCCCTTGCCCTGGAGTCTAGATTGCATCTCTCTGCTGTGGTTGACAGCCACATCCTCTCCCCTGTCCAGTTTTTCCTGTTCTTTGGTAATGAGAAGTGCCTGGAATCCGTGGATCTTAAGGAATATGGTAATAGGAAGCTGTTGCTCTGGCTTAGAGAAGAGAACAGGTATAGCCCTTGGGGCTTAGGTGAATGGTATGGTGGGAGATCAGTAGCCTCACAGTTAGAAATTCTGCTTGTAGCATTCTGAACTGGAATTGGGGTAGATTTCAAGATAGAGTCTGTGGAGTCCACTTCTACTCCCAATGTGAAAATCACATCAACAATAGCCCTTTCAGATGTTTCACCTCCTAGGAAGCTCATTCATTGTTAAACAGTAGAGCTGTCATCTTTTAAAATGTGAATTCTCCATGTGTTTCCTTTTCTTCTTCCGAGCTCAAAACCTCTGCTTTGCTTAATGATATGTTTTTATATGACTTTTTTGCCCCCAGATTCATTAGCAATCTAGTCATAGATTTTGAAATCAGGCAGCCTTAAGTTGTAGGTTACTTCTGTTAGCTGTCTAACCTAGATGGTTATTTAATCTCTTCAAACTTCAGTTTCCTCATTTGCAAATGGGATTATAATTTTTTTTTTTTTTTGAGACAGGGACTCTCTAATTCTGTTGGATCGTGTAGGGTGCAGTAGAGTCATGATAGCTCATAGCAACCTCAAACTCCAGCGCTCAAACAATCCTCCTATTTCAGCCTCTATAGCTGGGACTATAGGTACATACCACCATGCCCCACTGATTTTTTTATTTTTTTATGGAGACAGGGTCTCAATATGTTTCTCTGACTGGTCTTGAATTCTGGCTTGAAGCAATCCTCTCACTTTAGCCTCCCCAAATGGTAGGATTATAGGTGTGAGCCACCAGGTCTAGGCTGAGGATTGTAATTGAACCCTTCTCAGTAGGGTATTGTGAAGCTTAAATTGGGCAAACATGTAAAAGCATGTATTGGTGCCTGGCTTATGGGACGTGTTTAAAAAGAATTTGCTATAAGGAGTAGGAAGTGAGCTATTATGTGAAAATAGCCCTTTTAATTTGTAATGCCTAAAACTAAATACCAACAGACCTCATTTTGTAGAGTATAAGATTTCTACCTCACATGACTTAGAGTGCAGTATTACACTAGCATTTTTGGTAATCATATCTCACTTTCATTTTATAGTCAGGTCTAAAATATGCACCCTGATTTTCACATGATCTGCTGTCATGTCAGGTTGTTCCTTATCCTATACTATCCTGCAAACTGATTTTAGGTCTAAATCCAGTACTTGATAGTTATCCCTATTAATTTTCTTTATTCTTTTTTATTTTTTGAGACAAAGTCTTGCTATGTCACCCTTGGTAGAGTGCAATGGCATCATAGCTCACAGCAACCTCAAACTGTTGGGCTTAAGTGATTCTCTTGTCTCAGCCTCCCAAGTAGCTGGGACTACAGGTGCCTGCTCCAATACCCGGCTATTTTTTGTTGCAGTTGTCATTGTTGTTTAGCTGGCCTGGGCTGGGTTCTAACCCGCCACCCTCCATGTATGTGGCTGGCGCCGTAACCACTGTGCCACGGGCACCGAACCCAATCCTATTAATTTTCAACATGTTGGTTTGGTTGAGCATTCCTACGTGCCAAGATAATATTTAATTTGGGTCTGGTGTGTGTGCTTTTAGTGAAACTCCTTCAAGAAGGCCTATCCCCCTTTTTTAAGTATATCCTTGCTCTCGCACAAGAATATGTCCCAAGATCCCTTACACCCTCTTGCTCTAAACCTAGAAACTGATCAGTTCTCTAGGTAGCTATGGTTAATTTTAGTGGGGAATGGTATTTAGAGACCAAGATCTGGGTTCTAAGGCTGTTCATTGCCATTGGGGTGTTTGTTGTTTCTAGGCTTTTTGAGTGATGCAACTAGAATGTGAGGTAGATAAATATTGATACATTTTTAATTCAAGCTTACATTACAGGATTTGTTTATTATTTGTTTCTACATTTTTATCTCTCTTCTTACGCTGAAAATCTGGGCCCTTAATAACAGTAACACATTTACTTATTTGCTTTATCCAGCAATATATTTTTCTTTCTTTCTTTTTTTTTGTACATTGATGCATTTATGGGATTCAGGGTACTGCTTCAGTATACAATGTGAAATGCTTACATTGAACTAAGTAACACATCCATCACTATTATACTCATTTCTTAATAGTTTTGAAATGTACCATTGCATCATGCACATTAAGTGAGGTCCCCCTGAATACACTCCCTCCTCCCATATCCCCTCTTCCCTCCTGTCTCTCTCCTCTTCCCTTCTACTTTCTGGACTATAGTTATGTTTTGCCATTCATATGAGTGTGTAGGTGGTTATATATTGATTTCATAGTAGTATTGAGTACATTGGATACTTTTTTCCCCATTCTTAAGATCCTGTACTAAGAAGAATATGTTCCAGCTCCATTTAAGTAAACATAAAAGATGTGAAGTCTCCGTCTTTTTTATGGCTGTATAGTATTCCATGGTGTACATACACCATAATTTGTTAATCCATTCATGGGTTAATGGACACTTGGGCTTTTTCCATATCTTGGCTATTATGAATTGGGCTGCAGTAAACATTCTGGTGCAAATGTCTTTGTTGCAAAATAATTTTTGATCATCTGGGTGTATTGCAGTTTCGAACAGTAGGTCTACTTTTAGTTCCTTGAGTGTTCTCCAAACTTCTTTCCAAAAAGGTTAAATTTGCTTGCATTCCCACCAGCAGAGTTCTTTATCTCCACATCCCCACCAACATCTGCAGTTTGGGATTTTGTGATGTGGGCTAATCTTACTGGAGTTAGATGGTATCTCAAAGTGGTTTTGATTTGCATTTCTCTGATGATTAAGGATGATAAGCATTTTTTCATGTGTGTGTAAGCCATGCGCCTGTCTTCATCAGAAAAGTTTCTGTTCAAGTCTCTTGCCCACATAGAAATGGGGTTATTTATTCTTTTCTTATTGATTAGTTTGAGTCCTTGGTAGATTCTAGTTATCAGACCTTTGTCAGAAGCATAACCTGCAAAAAGCTTCTCCTATTCTGGAGGTTGTCTATTTGCTTTGCTTACTGTGTTCTTGGCTGTGCAAAAGCTTTTTAGTTTGATCAGATCCCAGTAATGTATTTTTGGTGTTGCTTTAATTGCCCCGGG